TTTATTGCTGAATAATATTTCATTGTATGGATATACAGATTTGAGGCCATTTGGCTATTATGAATAATGCTGCTGTGAACATTCAGGTACAAGTTTTTGTGTGGATGTATGTTTTATTTCTCTTGGGAGTGGGATTCCTGGGTCAAATAACAACTCTGTGTTTAACCTTTTGAGGAACTGTCAGACTGTTTTCCAGAGCAGCTGTACCACTTTACATTTCTATCAGCAGTGTATGAAGCTCCCAATTTCTCCATATCCTCATCAACACTTGTTACTTTCTGTATTTTTGATTATAACCATCCTAGTATGTGTGAGGAGTTATCTCATTGTGGTTTTGATTTACATTTCTCTGATGACTAATGATGTTGAGCACCTTTTCATGTGCTCATTGGCCATTTCTGTATCTTATTTGGAGAATGTCTATTAAGATACTTTGCCTATTTTAAATTGGGTTGTATGTCTACTGATTATTGAGTTGTAAAGTTTCAAGTTCTTTATGTATTCTAGATACAAGCTTCTTATCAGACATATGATTTACAAAGTTTTTCTTCCATTATGTAGGTTTTCTTCTCATTTTCCTGATGTCCTGAAGCACAAAAGTTGTAAACTTTGATGTCTAATGTATCTTTTTTCTGTTTGTACTTTTGGTGTCCTATCTAACAAACCACTGCCTAATCCAAAATCATGAAGATTTACCCCAATGTCACTTCTAAGAGTTTTATAGGTTTAGCTCTTACATTTAGGTCTTTGATCCATTTTGAGTTAATTTTTGTATATGATGTGAGGTAGGGGTCCAACTTCATTCTTTTGCATGTGGATATCTAGTTATCCTAGCAGCATTTGTTGAAAAGATTATTCTCTCCCGGTTGAATGGTCTTAGCATCCTTTTCAGAAATCAATTAACTGTGAATGTGAGGGTTTATTTTAAACTCTCAATTCTATTCTGTTGATCTATGTATCTATCCTTGTGCTATTACTGCACTGTCTTTAGCTTTGTAGTGTTTTGAAATTGGGAAACCTGAGTTCTTCAACTCTGTTCTTTTTCAAGATTGTTTTGGCCATTCTAGGTCCCTTGCATTTACATTTTAATTTTAGGCTCAGCTTGTCACTTTCTGCAAAGAAGCCAGCTGGGAGTTTGATAGAAATTCTATTGAATCTGTAGAACATTTTGGGGGAGAATTGCCATCTTAACAGTATTAATCTTCCAATTCATGAACACTGGAGGTCTTTCCACTTATTTAAGTCTTTAATTTTCTTCAACTGTGTTTTATAGTTTTAGGGTATAGGTTTTGAATTTTTTTGTTAAATTTATTCCTAAAGTATTTTATTCTCTTTGATGCTATTGTAAATGGGATTTTAAAAATATCATTTTTGGATTGTTCACTGCAAGTGTACAGAAACACAGTCGATTTTTGTATATTGATCTTGTATTCTGCAACTTCCTTATACTCATTTATTTATTTTAGTAGTTTTTTAGTGGATTCCGTGGGATTTTATATGTACAAGATCATGTCATTTGTGAATAGAGATAGTTTTCTTTCTTTCTTTCCAATTTGGATGCCCTTTATTTCATTTCCTTGCCTAAGTGCCCTGGCTAGCCACCCTAATGTTATCTTACTTATCAGCAGTATTTGGTACAATTGATCATTCCTTCCTTTTTGTAGCCCTGTCTTTACTTGGCTTCTTGGACACCACACTCTTTTGGTTTTCCTCCTATCCCACTGGCTGTTTTCTCATCTCTTTTGTTGATTCTTCTCCTTTCCCCCAGCTTCTTAACCATTTCCCACCTCTGAACTCCAGACCCTAGTATCCACTTGCCTACTTGACAGCCCCACTTAGATGTCCAAAAGGCAGCTCAAATTTACCATGTCCAAAACTTACTCTAATCTTGATTGAAGTATTTTGTGGAAAAATGGAAGAAAAGAAATAAATATTTACTGAATGTTTACTATTAGCGCTATTCATTATCTTGTTTACAACACATGTCAATTCTATGATACTCAGGGGACATGAACCCTGGTCAGTTTGATTCCAGGGCCTGAGCTCCTTCCTAACAGCTCTACTCTATTTCCTACAATCACAGTGTGTATAGCCCTACTTTTCTCTCCTCAAGACTTTCCTTTGGAGTAGTATGATACTTCAGAAAAAAGGATCTCACAGGATCTCTGGTAATTGGAATTAGAAGTGCTTGTGAGCCATGCAGTGCTTGTAGAGCTGCCTCTTCCCTTTTCCCTGCATAGTGGAGACTGAGATGTCTCCAGTGTGTAGACAGGCTTTCCCACCACCTGGGAAAGCCTACCTTGACTTTGTGGCAAGTTTTTCTTGGTCACTCTCCCAGGTTAGAGTTTCTCTGGCCTTGAGATACACTTCCCACCTATCAGAACTGCTCTCATTTATTTGCTTGACTGGATTCTCCATCTTTATTCCTCATTCCTTCTTTTGTCTCTTTCCCATTTGTTCAAGAATTATCAGCTCTTCTGGGTTTGTGTAAGATATCCTACTTTGACATTTGCTTGCCCATCACCTGGCACTGAAAATTTGCTTAGCATTTCTGACCCATCTGTGTCAACACTTTCCTTATTAAAATACTGGTTACCAAAAACAATTACATGTACTTTTAAATAGCAGTGATAACTCTGTTTTCTCCCCAAAATCTTTAATAGAAGTGAAAATGTCCAAGCTGAGTCTATACTGTTGGGAATACATTTTTACAATATATTTTATCCATATTTAAACAAGCCTATTCTCACGTGGCATCTGCAATCTCATTTGGTCCCCACGGTATATGTCCCAAGGCAGCTAAGAAAGATGAGAAAATTGATGGGGTCAATTTGTCCATGTTCTTGTAGCCTGTTGGGGCAGAGCCAGTTCTGTTCCCAGTTGAGCTGGTTTATTCTGATAAAGTTCGTGTGTAAGGTGTGCTGTTCACTGCAGGATGAGGTCCCACCCCCAGGTTTTGCCTCTTGGTGCTCAGTGGTCTCACCCTTCCCAGAAGCCCCCTCACTGGTACCTTATTCCATCTGCTGACCCTTTCCTGATCACCTTTCCCCATTGGAGATAACCTAGCTACTGTTTTTTCCCATTCTAAATGTCAACCAATCATGAGGCATTATGGTACTGTACCTGGAGTCAGAACTAGATTCAAGACTAAGGCTTCTGTGGCTTTGGGCCACCTCTCTGAGCTTCATACATAGGGTGATCTCTAAGGGCATTTGTGGTTCTAGCCTTCCCAGGCTTTATGACTCTATTTCTCTGAAAAGTGAACCTGGACTAATGTCTGAATAGTTGGCAATGGTTTAATATGCTATACCAGGGAATTCCATCTGCTGAACCTTTCCTGATCACCTTTCCCCATTGGAGATAACCTAGCTACTGTTTTTTCCCATTCTAAATGTCAACCAATCATGAGGCATTATGGTACTGTACCTGGAGTCAGAACTAGATTCAAGACTAAGGCTTCTGTGGCTTTGGGCCACCTCTCTGAGCTTCATACATAGGGTGATCTCTAAGGGCATTTGTGGTTCTAGCCTTCCCAGGCTTTATGACTCTATTTCTCTGAAAAGTGAACCTGGACTAATGTCTGAATAGTTGGCAATGGTTTAATATGCTATACCAGGGAGAGCAAATATGTAGCTTCTCTCCCATCTATTAACCATGACATACTCATTATATTTATCTCATCACTGTCATGTGGAACCCAGTCATGACCTCAGACTTCTCAATCCAGTATAGTGTGCTAAGTAACCACTACCAGTGGATCACAGTTGAAATGTGTTTATCCTCCCTGTCTTCCCTCCCACTTCTAGCGCTTCAATCTAAAGCAAGGACTAGTGGTGACCAGGATACTATAGAAGTTAGGAGCATGGGTTCTTGGGTTCAGCTGCTTATATTCAAATCCTGAATCCACTGCTCCCTTTCTGTATGACCTTGGGAAAGTTACTTAACTTCTCTGGGCCTCAGTTTCCTTTTTTAGTAATATGGGGCATAACAGTAGTCATCTTCATAGGGTTGTAGAGAGGGTTAAATGAAATAATATGTATTAAAAAAAGTGCTTAGAACAGTGCCTGGCACATGTAACTCAAAAAATGTTGACTATTGTATTGATAATAGCCAGGATAAGAACTTGAAAGGCTGGTAGAGGAAAAATTCTTGGATTGATAGGGCTTGTGGTACCCTTTCAGTCTTCAAAGTAGTCAAATATTCATTCTGTTTCTGAGTGTGGATTGATCCTATTTAAAATTTCATTCCTTTATTAATTTATTTAGTAAAAGTTTAGGGCCTACTGTGTGCTATGCATGCAACCGGGTGTCTAGGATATAACAGTAAACAAGTCCTTTTTAAAGTTCATAGTGTATGGGGGTGACAAACAAGTAAAAATGTAGTTACAGTTTTCTTAATAATTGCAGTAATTGGAGTTTGCCCAGGGTCTTTAGGGAGCACTGTGTGCACCGGTGGAGTATTTTTGATGTTAGTGTTAAACCTGGGTGGGAAGAAACATACTTGAGTCCTCCAGATCTGGCTGGTCTCTTACCAGTGTTTCATAGGCAGTGGATTCCTTGGGGAAGAGTTAATACCTGTTCTAGCTGGTGGCACACCTCAGTGGCATGCTCATGCTCCTTGGCATTCATTCAGTTACTCAGCTAACAGCCCAAAGCTTTTCCCACTGCTCCTTGAACTGCTGTCCCCCTTTCTCAGTCATAGCTTGTAGAGTTGCAGAGCAGAGATGTGAAGACAAATGAAGGAGCCCTGAATTTGCAGCTACATAGTAGTTAGATCTCTACAGAGTTGAGTGCCTTAGGAAAGCCTGAATGTGGGGCTTATTAGGGACTTGGAAAAGTTGATGAGTCCATCTCCATGCCTAACTTACGATATGGTAGGTCTGTATGACAACCGTGGTGATAGTATGGAATGCGGAGGGTGGAGGAGAAAAAATACCCTTGCGTGGCTGGGGGTGGGAATTGGTTCTGTGACCCATCCTTTCTCCCACTGGTGTCTTGCAGCAAACAGCTATTGTGTGACGTGGTAATTGTGGCAGAAGATGTTGAGATAGAAGCCCACCGTGTGGTCCTGGCAGCCTGCAGCCCCTACTTCTGTGCGATGTTCACAGGTATGGTGAGGGGCAAACAATAACCCATGGTTGTGGGGCTGCAGCCCCACTGGGAGAATATTGAGGGTGGTGGCATGAGAGGGGGGGAGGAAAGAAGACTGTGACGCCCACCCTGAGGAGCTCCTGTGTGCCAGATTCTTTGCTTTGCGCCATGGAGATGCAAAGCACCGTGACAGGCCCTCAGCCAGGCCAGTCAAGCATGCAGCCCCTATTGCAGTTAACTCTGAGGAAAAAATGTAGCCTCGTATAGTCCATGAATTCTCAGACTTTATCATGCATCATAATCATGTCAGGGAGCTGGTTAGAAATGTAGACTCTTGGCTTCATCCCCAGGCTTCTGAGCTGTCATTTTGTGGATGGGGGACCCTGAGGCTGAGAGAAAGGAAGGGACTTGCCTGAGGTCACATGGTGAATGAGTGGAACTTGGCTTCTGGATGCCTGGCCCAGGGCTGGCTGGCCTAGCTGGCCCACGTCTTATTATTCCTTAACTGTTCTTTCCAAGCAGAGACTTTGAGTCTCGTCTAGCCTTTATAGGAATGCGGTAGAGTTGGCAGAAGTGATGGTGGGGCTTGGGGTGGGGAGAGTAAGACAGAGGTATATTCACCATCTGCATTCAGTTTCAGTACCTTTGCCAACTTTCCAGGGAGTCCCTGTTTCCTGAACATGCCAAATAGCCTTGTCCAACTATTGCACGTGTATTATTTCTGAGACTGAATTCCCTGAAACGCATGGGCTGAGCTTCTTGTCTGCAGTACCTCACAGCACCTCCCCTGAGCCAGGTGCAGGCAGTGCTGTATCCATCACTGCTGACTGAAAGCCAGCTGGATGAGGTCAGGTGTCTCTTCCACACACTCATCTGTACCCTGTGCTTCCTCTGAGTGTGGTCACTATCACTCTGCACTCTCATCTGTTTCCTGGAGTTTGAGGTGGTCATGCTCTGGGGTCTCATGTACCTGCTGCTTCTCACCCTGTAGTTTACATATCAAATGTTGCCTCCTCTCTGACCACCTGAACCATAGTTCCCCACTAGGTCTCTTTCTATTCCATAACTTGACTCTGTCTTTTTCATAACATTTATCACTGTCTGAAAATCACATTGGTTGGTTGTTTATATATTTTTTACCTGTGTCTCCTTACTGGAGTATCAGTTCCATGAAGACAGGGATCTTGTTAAATTTGTTTGTTTCTGTACCCTGAATACCTGGTACATAATAGGACTAAGATATTGTTTTAATGAACAAAATGTCTCCTACCCTTGATTGTGAGCTTTGGGTGCTTGCGGATTATGTCTTATGTCTTGTCACTGTTGAATCCTTAGCGCCCACCCCAGGGCCTGATGTTTAGGAGACTGAATAAGTGAAGGTTAAATGAATGAATGTGGTGTTGCTAAGGATGGGTGAGTGCAGGCACATCTTTGCTGAATAGGCTCTTGCCCTTTTTCTAATATAGTACAAAGCCTGTGCTGGGCAGGAGTGGTTCTTGGTGGGGCGGGGAGTACTTAGCACTTGGCGTTTGGAGAGTTCCTCACATGTATGTCCCCCTTGGCTCATCATGTGAAAGACCTGGCCTCAACTTGGAGCAGTGCTTTTGCTAAGTGGACCAAGCCACACTTACCTCACTTTGAGCCGTGGGCCAGGAATTCCACAGTGCAGCCTGGAAAACCAGCTAATTTCACTACCTGGAAATTTTGAGCCACATTCTCTTTGGAGTAGCCTCAAAGTCTAGTAGTAAGGTTTCTATTTCTTTTTTTGTCCTTGTCCTTCATCCATCTCTTTCTTTTAAAATAATTTATCTTGTCTACAATAGTTATTTAGCTGCAACTTCAGTAAATAGTTCTGCCAGTCATTCTCTGTTTGTGTAGTTTGGAAAGTCCAGTGTTGAGAGAGGAGTCTATTTGGAATTACAATAAATTGTACTGTTGGCTCCACTTTTTGCTAATGAACTTGCCTCTGGGGGTAGTGGAAGTGCCTAAGCAAAACAAGGTGATTTTAAAAAGGGAGAGAAAAGGTGATTCTGGATCAGGTCTTGGATTCTAGTAATCGAAGGGAAGAGGGAATCAAGAGAAGAAAGCAGTCTAATGTGTTGCCCAGCCCAAGCTTTCCACTGAATCTGGTTACCATCCATTCTTCCATCCATCCATTCATCCATCATCTGTCTGTCTGTGCATCCATCCACCCACCCACCTACCTATCCATCTACTCATCCAAACACTATTCACATATGTTCATTGCAGAATAAAAATTAGAAAATGTGGGCAAGCAAAAAAAATACATGTAATACATTTACTCTTGTGATAGCTTATGCTTCTCTTTAGTATTACTACTTATCTCATTACTTCCTCACTGTCTGATTTACCTGGTCAGTCATAAACTTTATGAGGGTAAGAACTGTACCTTTTAAATTCACTGCTATGTCCCTGCTGCCTAGCATGATCTTACATACAGTAGGTGCTCAATGAAAATTTGCTTAATTGAACTTAGCGCTATATTGTCAGTATATTTTCATGGCAATGAAATCACATCTACATCATTATTTTAATGGCCTCATAAGATTCCATCATATGTATCCAAATTGAAAATCCATTTCCTTATTGGTTGGAAATTATAGTTCTTTCTAATATTTTGCTATTGTAAATAATGCTAAAATGGGCATCCTTGCAACTTGGTCTTTACTTACATTCCTGATTATTTCCTTAGATCCCTAGAATAAAAAATACTTGGTTAAAGTGTGTGCACATTTTGAATTCCTGTGAGACACGTGCCTCAGTTCCACAACACTTAGAACAGTTGTACCAGCTTATGCTTCCATCGGCAGTACATCAGATTCGTGTATTTTCTGAGGCCCCTTGGTTTTGCTTAAACTTTGGTAAACAGGTACAAAAAAAAAGTAACATTGAAAATTTTTGCTCTAATTATCAGGTTCAGCTTCAAAATGCATAAAATTAGTAATGAAAAGGCCCAGCTGACTCTCATTGAGTCCATTTCTATCAGCATGTTTAAGGCCCCAAAGAAAAGGAAATACATGTGACTTTCTTCTGACTTGAGTGGTATGATTAAGATCTTTTACTGAGGCTTAAAGTGTTTTTATTTTTTTGTCCTCTGAGTTCATATTGCCCAAATGTCCTGTGATGGTTCCAAATACCAGCTCCACTCCTTGACCATATCCTTCCCAGAATAACTTGTAATAAGTGTGAAACTGAGGTCTGACTGCCCACAAAAGAGTGTCCAAAGGCAGCCAACCTGTGAGAAGGTCTGGGATGGGCAGTCACCTGAGTTGCTCTCCACTCCTTCAGCATAGTGTGATTGGAGAGGCCAGAAGGGCTGGTCTTGTCCTTCTTTTCCCTGTGAGTATGGAACACTTAAAAGTCCCCTTGATCCCATCCCCCCATCTAGCACCTCCATCCCAGGGGAAGATAATTTCCCCAAAATAGCCCAGTCAGTTTTTTTCCCCTCTTTTTATCATGCCCTTTTCTATGTGTTCTGTGTACTATAGTGTTTGTACTCCATATGGATCCCTTCATGTCATCCAAAACTTTGAAAACAATCCCATTTTATGGTGTTAAAAGAACCAAGTTCTAAAGAATATGTGCACTAAGTGTCTTAGGCTCATCACCACGGCTAAAAGACATTTGAACTCCATCCCAAAAGAAGCCCTGGGAGTGAGCTGTCCCATCTTCTGGCTCTGTTGTGCTACATGCAGTGGCTGATTAAATTGGCTTTTTTTTTTAAATTTGTTTTTAGTTTTCTATTTTTTTAGGCTCCACTGGGTCTTCGTTGCAGCACGTGGGATCTTCGTTGTGGCATATGGATCTTTTAGTTGTGGCATGCAGACTTTTAGTTGTGGCATGGGGACTTCTTAGTTGCAGCATGCGGACTCTTAGCTGTGGCATGTGGACTCTTAGCTGTGGCATGTGAACTCTTAGTTGTGGCATGTGAACTCTTAGTTGTGGCATGCATGCGGCATCTAGTTCCCTGACTAGGGATTGAACCTGGGGCCCTTGCACTGGGAGTGCAGAGTCTTACCCACTGGACTACCAGGGAAGCCCCGGCTTTGTTTTTTTAAAGAAAAGTTACTGTCCATTTTTATTAGATGTAGGCTGATATTCAACTGGTGTCTTTGAATATATGGTGAACAGAAATAGGGAGGAGAGTCAGGAATGTGCTGGAGGTAAGAGGCAAGGGGCTTGGAATGTGAGCACCAGCTAGCCTCAAGCAGAAAAATTAGGGCCTGGCTCTCTTACCTCCAGGCATGCACTCATCCCATAGAACCATTGTTTTCACCCTTTCTTTATGCCTGACTCTGCCAGGCCCTGACCTATGTCTGTATTCAGAGTGTTTGTATGATGTATTGATGTTTTTGAAGATCTTTGCATAACATGCAGTTTAGCAAGACTTAATCCAAGGCAGTGGGGCAGGGAGGGAGGGAGCACTAGGGAGTAGAATCCTTTCTTTGTATAAAGAGGGCCTTGAGAGATTAGTCGGAGTAGATAGGGTCTGGTTTCTGAGGGTTTTGCCTCTAAGGAAATGGTGAGTTTTTCAGGAATTGATTTGGATGTAGTTCAACATAGGCCTTTGTAGTGTCTAGGAAAAGAGACCACTATTCAGACACCCACCAGCACCCATTAAGGTGCAACTGATTTGACCAAGATGATCTGCGGTAGACTTGTCTGGACTTGGAGTAGCTCAGCCTTGAAATTTAGATCATCATTGGAGAGGATCACTGGTAAGAAACGTTTTATGAAAGTTCATAGAGGAGGTTTGGAGTTATTGATGCAGAGGCCTCTTTGCTAAGGATTAAACACAGGGGTGGTGATGCCACCTTGCATTGGGAGATGGTGTGGTGTCTTGGAAAGGGCTTTGGAGCCATCGTGACCTGACTCCAGCACCTGACCGGTTTGTAGGGAATTCACTTAACCTCTATGATCCTGTTTGCTTGTTTATGTGACTGGAATAACAACAATAAAACCATAATAACAATAACTAGGGAACAGATACAGGTAA